ACTTATGAAACTGTTTAAAAATAGGTACTTCCAATACATGATTGCTTTCGTTAAGTTCTTTCACCAATTTCATTAGATGTTTATGGCACTTATCTACGTCTTCTTTAGGTCCTCTAATTTTCACTATATCTCCCTTTTCGCCTGAAAAAAATTGATCAGCTGATAAAAATTGTAAATGATGTTGGAATGATATAAATGCTTTATTGTGATATTATAAATTAATGCAGTATGAAATTATGTATATAAATTATTTACCTGGTCCAGGTATAATAATTTGTACTTGATTAAATTTATCTCTAATTTCTTTGATATTATCTCCTTTATTCCCAATTATGTTACGATAATATCTGTGATCTATAATCACATCCTTTTCTTTCTCATTTTCTAGTTTTTTAACCATTTCTACAAGTTCCTATATTATTTATAAAATAAAAACATTAATATTTTTTTCATTGATTTAATAACAATACTTGATACTAATTTAAAATATAATACGTACTGTTTGAGCTTTTGATACCCCAGCATGATTACCTTCAATACGGATAACGTTACTGCCATCATTTTCAGAAATACTAATCACTACACCCGTTCCTTCCTTAACACGATTCACTTTAATAAAAACAGAGAAAATTTAATACAAACTCAGACATTCTTTTTTGCATTACAAGATGTTATTAAAAATTGCAAACGATATTAAATACTTACCATTACAACCATTTTTCCCAATGATATGCTTGTAGAATCTTGGGTCAACATTTAATTCTGTGAAAGTAAGCTTTGATATAAGATCATTGGCCATAAGCTGCAACTCGTTTTGTGCTTTTTCTACTTCTTCAGGTGGGCCTTCTATCTTGATTTTATCTTCTTTTCCAGTAAATTCTACGTTTACTTTTGGCATTTCTTGAGTAATTTTTTTGATATTTACACCTTTGCGTCCAATGATGTATTTATGTATCCATACCGGAGCTTCCACCACAGCAGTGCGAACACTATTTGCCTTTTCGTATACCTTGTTAAGCGCTATATAAATGAAAATATAAATAAATGTGTAATAATTAATATGTTAGCTAAAGATATAGTATTTAAAAATTAATTAATAATGTTTTAAATTGCTTACCCTGACCAAGCTTCTCTTGGGGTCCTCTAAGAGTTATGGTACCAGTTGCCGAGTCAGGTGCAGGCATTTCTACGCTCACTCCAGTTGTTTGTAATATTTCCGCTATAGTGCTACCACGAGGCCCAATTACATACTTATGCTGAGATTTGGGAACTTCTACAGATACTGTAGTACATCTTTTTGCCTGAATTAAAAATTTACATATTACTTACATGTGCTAATAAAATTATATAAAATAGTTTTATTAACTTACCATATCCTTGTAGATACTATCGATCTTTTGTTTTGCAGCCAAGACTCCTTCCTTCTCACCAGCGATAGTTATTTCATCCTGCTGTACTGATGCAGGAGGAATATTGATGCGAGCACCAGTTTCTGCCATCATAGCATTGAGATTTTCGTTATGTGCACCATATATGAATGGATGATATATTTTTGGCACAGTTATCCTTTCAAAAGCCTTCCTAGACTGCAATATTTATGACAAAATTTATTGTATATGCATGCACTATCTTGCAACAAGTGCAATTACAGCTAGAATAGACATATCTGTATACAGTAATTTATTATCTTAAAAATACCTGTTCATCAGAAATAACTCTAATTTCATGTTCAGCCTTTTCAATGCCTTCCTTTGTTCCTGTAATTGTTATTATATCTGATTGATCTTGGACACCAGGTACGTTAATTTTTGTAGCAGTTTTCTGCTCTAGATCTTTTAACCTCTGCCCTTGCTTTCCAAGAATCCAACGATGATGATCCTTAGGAATACTAATCTGCTTACTTGCCTACAAAAAATTAATGAAAATACAGAATAATCTATGTATATATTTATGGAAAAGATTGCAAGAATGTAATAAAAAATAAGTAAGTTAAAATATCGAAATCATTCTATTTAATAATACATACAAAGTATATATTTGCAAAATAATAATAAGTTATTCATGTATATCTCTTAATCAGGGATTACCTGAGTTTGAAACGTTGTCAAAATACGTCGTTTGGCTTCTAAAACCTGATTTTGCTTTCCAGTTATAAGAAAGGTTAGAGATTGATCCTTAGATGATGCAATTTCAATAATAGTGCTTGTTTCTTTCATAATAGTTTTACATGTACGAATAGATTCACGTTCGCCAAATTTATCACTATGATCAAACTTGCGTTCTTCCCCTGGTACGCGAAACATCTACATAAAAGTAGAAAAAATATGTAAAAGAATAAGTACTTTTTCGTACCGTAAAATGCAATTTTAATTTTTTTGTGATAAAACTACAAATTCATATGCATATCTTTAATTATAATAAATAGACTTGCTGCAATACATTAGTAAAAACGAAATAAATAAATTCTAAAGTTAAAGTGTAAAAAAGTGTATAAAAAAAGTACTAATCATATTTGACTATGTTGTAAGTTAATCTCACAATGTAAACACATGATGTTGGTATTTTTTCTATCACTTTAATTTTAGATTTACTCAATTTTTTTTTACAAAATGTAGATTAATCCCTTGCAGCAAGTCCTTGATTAAAAAAATATATATGTTTAACAAGTCGTGTAACAAATAAATTTTTATAAACCTTTACCTGTGTAATAGTAATACGACCAAGTTGTAAGCTGTTACTTATGGAAAAAATGTTTAACGGTCCAGAATTGGAGCTAGATGATTCGGGGAGGACAGGGAATGTCTCGTCGTAAGTAGGTGGCTCGTAGGCCGTTCCCTCTTCCATTACTGATTGCTGCTGCATTTTTCGGATGTCCTGTTTCGTGCCAAGTCCTTACAGTAGCACTATAATATAAATCAGAAATATTCTACCTTTCTGACAATCCTTTTGTAAATATATAATAATATACATATAAAATATAAATAAATGTAGTTAA